CCCCTTTCCTACTGCCTGAAGACAGCTGGGATAGGCTCCAGCACGACCCACGACCCTTGCGAGGATAAAGTGGTTCAGAATATATATATATATATATATATATATATATAGTGTTCATTTGTTTAAATTCATAAAAAAATAATTGAATATTTTGTTGTTTCATTCACCTTGCTTTTACGGATTGCATTCCAGCAAAAAAATGAAATAATCACCCAGTCACCCTGAAACTTTTCAACGGTATAAAGGATGTTTGACTTCTATCCCATCATTGCTCCAATTTCAAGGTCATGCTCATGATTGTACACCTATTTTCACAGATTTTATTACAGAGCATCTCAAATGGGCACTATGCTCACAACGTAGATTGATTGTTCCAATGTTTATCTCATGCACACAACCACCTTCTCGCTGCGAAGACCTCTTTAGCCCAACTGTCATCAACTCAGCTTCACGGCTACGATTCAACCGATCTGAAGCGATAAATCATTTTGCCTTTACCACCTGTTGGCCTGTGTCAGCTCCCTGCAAATATGTATCTGGCTGGCATTCGCTGATTGTGAGAAATCCTTCCCCCAGTTAATCCACTCAGTGATGATGACTTGATCACATTTTCTGTAGCGCCACTCTCTCAAACCTAATCCCACGAATTTCCCCTTCCCTATAGACCCCAGTGGGGCATCACAGGGTGTGACACTGTTTTGTTTCTCATATGCGGGCAAATTGAAATGGTCACAGTTCATTACCATAATTGTAGTTTGGTTGGAAAATGAACAAAGTAAACCATAAACGAATGCATCAGCAAGAATTACATGTGAATAAACAACAATGAAGGCAAATTGAGGTCTACTGACTTTACTTTGTGCCATGTTGCTGTTAGCCACAGTAAACAGACACTTTTGACTCAAAAAGATAACCAAGGGCAGTGAGTAGAATGCTCTCGGAATCTGTCCACAGAAGCTGAAATGACTCTTCAATGAATAAACTGCTCTACGACTGAGATACCAGCAGTAGTTGACATCATACCGCATTGTCTCAGCACGCTTGACACCTGGTAGTTTTGCTTTTGCTGAGCTGGACTCTGTTCAACAGTGAGCAGAGTCCAGATCAAATAGGTGCTGCGTAAAGGAAAATAGATGCTTCAGTATCCAGAGAAAATGGGTCACACAAGACGTTACGGTAACGGTGGTTGGCTTTGTCCCGTAGTCTTTTGATATTCTGTAATTATGACATTTTGGAAAGCAATTCTGAGTAAAAGTGAGTGACAGAGCGCTTTCACCAAAAGCTTGTATGTGTACAAATTGTCATTGTAAGCTGTTAAATTTCATGATCTGCTGTCTGCTGCATTTGTGGAGATTGGAGGATTAGAAACAAACTCCTAATATTTTAGCAGCAGAAATCTTAAATCAAGGGAAAAAAAAACTCTCAGGTTGAATATTAATTAAGATCAAATCCAAATTTGGTGGTTCTGTTCAAATTACAAAATGCTTTAAAAAAAAATTAATAAGAGCCCATGCAGAAAAAAAGTGTGTCTCTGTGTGGGTGCATGCGCGTGGTGAGCAACACTCGTGGGTAGACTAGACGCTTGCATTAAATTTGCAAAGAATTCACTGAAGTGGTCAATGGATTTCTTCTTCTCGTTCAAAAGGGGGTGACCGTCATTTGCATTAAAATGGTTCCTCTCTGCAGAGTCACTATTGATCTGCCATTAACAAAATATTGATTTCTTCTTGAGAAGGTGCTGTGGGGTTGTGCGCTCCAATAACCTTTCACAACATTATCAATAAACGTGAGCGTATAAATTGTGCATACATTGAACTGGTTTACAAAATATATGACAATTTGCCAGGCTCCGTACTTGGACAAATTATCCTAAACCTTGCCTGAACCTTCTTGATGGATACTTGTAGACGTACAAATTATAGAAGGCGGTGTCCATGGCTTCTGTTTCAGCATAATCTCTGCAGGATTTGCCAGCGATAATTCTCTCAAATAGAATAGCTGAGGGGCATGATTGAACATATGCTTTCTAGCATCGCCATTTAGTTTCTAGCCAAGCATCTGTGTAGCCCATATGTGTATTGGATGTATTTGTGTGTGTGTGTGTGTGTGTGTGTGTGTGTGTGTGTGTGTGTGTGTGTGTGTGTGTGTGTGTGTGTGTCAAAGTACAATCCAGACAGAAACATTATTTTCAGAAGAATCTTTCATCATCCCTCGCAGATGGAGCGAACGGTTGTATATACATCATCAATCATGTTACTCGCGATGCTTTCTAAGATACGACAGAACATTACAGAGATCCCATGCGTATTGTTGCAACGTAATTGTAAGATTGCAGGAACGTATGTGTGGGTCGTTAAGCTTTTTTTTTTTTACAAATTCGACTTGAATCCCATGAGGTTGCAGATAACCCTCTGTTGCTTGTTCTGTATTTCCCCAGGTCTAGTAAATTAGATGGGAGCGCCTTTCTTATTCATTCTAAGGCTGCCTCATAAGAAACCTCCCGCCTCCCTACTGAAGCCTTATGTGGGTAATGAGTGCTCTGTGCACTAAAGCCTCCTCTAATGGCATTCGCCAACGTGCAAAAGTCACCGTCTGAGGTGTCTCTATTACCCTTTACCTAATGTGCTATTCTCTATAGCTTTGTTCTTCTCCTCTCCCTATTTTATGCCCCCTTTGTTAGATTTTAAATCCGACTATAATCATGCACCATGTCCGTAACGCCCGGTGCAAATTCATACTTTTACAAAGGTGGTCAGTCATTGCCAGTTGTTTTCAATTCGGATATTTTGTTCGGTTTGGGCTCCATCATAAATAGGCAATTTTCTCTCTGAACATTTAACATTCAGTATGGTAATGCTCTACATCCGAGCCTCTCGTTTATCTTTGCCGTGCTCTTCAGTTATCCATCTAAAACGAAATAAGGATGGATTAGCCAATTGTGAAATTGTATCTAAAGGCAGAGTACGGAGCGAAATCATTTCCGTCCTCTGCATGACATCTATTTCCACCTCACAGACATATGCAGACAATGAGTGCACTTTACCGCGGACCTTTAATAAAAGCAAATTCAGCTCATCAATTTAGCGAATGGCCACGCTAACCGGCGCACTGTTAGGCGCACGAGAGTGGTCTGGTGTCAGTGACAAAACGACAAGTACTGTAGCTTTGCACATGGCTGTAGCTGACCGAGAGACGAACACAGAGGCAGAACCGCTGCACCGGCGACCACCCATTAGTCTCCAATTATCTTTGGGATGATGGCAAGACCTGCCAAGTTCGAAGCATTTCAGCTGCTGATATAAAACAATTGCCTCCCATGCCCTTGAATTGGTAACACTTTAGTGAGAGTAGGACAGCAAGAGTATTTTTGTGAATACAGCGCACACACACATCTGGCAGGGTGAGTGTGTGTTGCTTTTCAGTCTTGTCTGATTCCTGATTTCCCTTGATAGTAACGGCTCCATGCAGGTGAAGTGACAATAAGGCTGAGAATAACAAAAATAACCAGCCCACACGGTTCGCTCTATGTCCCTCAAACTCAGCTTTGACAAACAAACTTTTGCATCAGAATTACTTCAGCGATGCCAGTTCCCAAATGGTAAATTATTATATTTAATACTGAAGCACCGTTCCACGTTTTCAGTGTCTGCAACCTGTCAAATCTATGAAAATGCACGCTGACGTATATTTGAGGTCTATAATGGAGAAAATGTGAATCAGCCAGTACTTTACATACATGACTAACAGATCACTTCTACATGCGTAGTCCATCAAGTTCTAACAACACAATGGAGTCAATTAGAGGCGGTTTTTAGCCATTCATGACTTAAATGTACAAGTAAACAAAAGCCGTAACTCTCCCGTCTGAAGGATATTATGTTTGACATTCATTTCAAAACAGCTGGTTTGTCACCAAAGGTCAATGGCGTTTGGATGCTTTCAAGTTTGGGTTTGAGGATTCGAGAATGTTGCTTTTGATGCCAAACCTGCTCAATTTAACTCAACTCCAAGGAGTTGGCCCGGTCTGTGAAGTCGTCTTCACTGTCATGTTAAACTGTCATGTCCTGTCATGTTGAATCCTGTTGAGTAGGTTATTCTTAATGCAGTGTTCAAGGCATCAAAAAAACAAAAAAAATGAAAACTACTCTAAAACAGAGGTCCCCAACCTTTTTTGCCCCACGGACCGGTTTCATGTCAGACAATTTGAAATAGGACTCCTGATACTGTCTATTAAATGTAGCCTTCTCTTTCTTGAAAGTCGTTGGCTCCTCTTCTGTCTCCTGGCTGGGCCTTTTCCCCTTCCAGAAAAAAACTTTTCAGACATTTGTTTTTCATTCATTTTGCTAGCTCCTGGGTTTCATTTTTGTGGTAACCTATCACGTGACCGAGAAGCGCATTCACCTGCGTCAAGAGTAACATAGACCACTGGTGCTGAACCTTGTTAAAGGTACCGAATCCAACCAGTTTATATGCACATTCACCGAACCCTTCATTAGTGAAAAATAAAAATATAGAATAAAACACATTCATTAAAAACTGATAAAAGTAAATACAATTAGTATAACTGTGAAGTATATATATATTTTTTAATTGTGCACAAAATCAACCAGCCAGTGATAGCCAAGCGGGCATGTCGTAACTCATTGACAGGTTGAGTCGTGTGTGTCTTAACCTCCATGGCAGATGCTTTGTCGAACCCCTGAGACTGATTCACCGAACCCCTAGGGTTTGATCTTACCCTGGTTGAGAACCACTGCTGTAGACTGATATAACAGAGAATCTGGTAATTTTTCAAAATAAATCATCTTTAGATTCCGAAATGATTAAAACAGAAGGAATATAAGTGAAATATATTCACTTATATTGTTTCTTTCTGTGCAGCCCGGCAACAAATGACCGTACCAGTCCGCGGCCGAGCGGTTGGGGACCCCTGCTCTAAAAAACATTCATTTTATACATCCAGCTGCAATCAGTTGAGCTATGCTGAAAAACTGTTGTTTGGTGCTATCGCGATGTCCTTTGTGCATGACCATGGAGAAACCAGACAGGTAGTTCACAACACCACAAGATTCAATTATCTTTTTCTTTGTTGTTTGTTTCAAAAATCAATTATAATTTGTAAAAGCTAAGCTGACACTTTGTATGGTTTCCTGACTTTGTCGTGACACCTCAGCGTGTGTCGCTCTTGATTTTTTTTTTAATCTTACAAACATCAATACCTTGTATTTTATGCACTCTGTAGTAACTGAGCATTAGGGCACACCATCTTGTGTTTGATCAATATCAAGACCTTGACTTTGTTTCAGCTCTTTGTTCCTTCAGATGCTGACAAGGTTTTTCGACCATTCCATTCACGTTCAGGTAAATGGTTCAGCGAGAGACTTATTTGTGTGTGTGTGACTTCATCAAGAAGGAAGTGCAAGAGATATTCACAGAATCAAACAAAGCTTTTCTTCATTGGAACCTACATGATGTGATGTATGGCAGATGAATGAGAATATCCTGGCAGAAAAAAAAAAAAAATTCTCAGAGAGAAAGCACCAAATGAGCTCGTTGCCTCTTGGGACCCAAACAACTGACTTGGGTTAAACTGTCATTAAATTGAAGAACAAGTTGGAGACGTAAAGCTGTTATTATCTGAAAGGCAAGTGATGGGCTTAGTGAGGCCGCTGGGATCACTGGGCTTTCATTGCAGGTACAACTGGGTATCGTTGGAAAAGAAGTGGAATGGCACACCACATTGTAACTCGGAAAGGCTTGCAATAGATTCTCACTTTGCTTAAGTTTCTATTCAATCTTTTTTTGGACGGATATTATTTGTATATATTCAAAATGTGATATTGCCCTCAAGGGATCTGCCTGGTGACCCTGCCAAGCTTCACCTGACATTTACTGCCTTTTGGATGCAAGGGAGCCAGCAGAAGGTCATTCCTTGTCTTGTGTGCCAATTTGACCTTGCATGCAAGCCACAGCCAATGATATGAACACGATATACTGTACCAACAGGTTCTCTGTTGAAGATCATTTTCAATAGATGGGACTCTAAAAGATGACATCGGGTGAAATATGTGCGGGACAAAAGTCTCGCAGGGAATTTTGCTATCAGCCCTTGGGCAACAGTTCTCACCAGATCTCTCACGACAAGGTGCATGAAATCTAAGTGCGTTGCATGCTGTTAATGAAGAATATCACAGCCAGCTACAGTGAGGGGGGGGGGGTTGCACTATCATCAAGTACCTGAAGTAAACCGAATTAAAAAAAAACATGATTATGAGGCTATTTTTATTTATTTTTTTGGTGTGTGTGTGTGTGTGTGTGTGTGTGTGTGTGTGTGTGTGTGTGTGTGTGTGTGTGTGTGATATGCAATACCTGCATCAAACTGCCATTAAACTCACTTCACTACCATCATCATTCAGATACACTATCTAACAAACAAAAAGCCCGGCTGCCATGATTCACCCTATCGGGTTACTTTGCACATAAATTGCATTTGAGCTGCTAGATCCACATGCTGCATTTTTGAACGCATACTGCTGTTGCTTATATTGATGCTGTGCAGAAACCCCACTGTGGGTCAATATATCTCGCTGCATTATAATTAATGGCACGGCAATACCAGTGGACTTGATCATCTGTACAGGCGACTAGTTTCCAATGGCTGCCGAGTGAGACCAGGCTACCACCGATAATACTACCGGGTAGGCAAATGACGGATAACAAGGTCTAATTATACAACGTAGCGTTGGTGTGTGTCTGTGTGTGTGAGCAGAATATATTATCAAAGAGAGAAACCGAGTGAGGGATTGGGGGTGAGTGCATCGTCGTATCCACACATGAGGAAACCAGGACAGCAATGACAAACCAAAATGCTCACTTTCAACTTGCAATGTGGTAAATGTGTACATTTTACTGAACTGACTTTTTAAAGTCATGAACAGGCACACTTTGTAGATTAGCTCTTAAGGACATTTGCATTGTGCGTAATTTGTGGTCCAAATCTGCACTGTGCCCACAAATTTTAAAGTTTGGCATCATGGATGTGCCACAATTGCGTATAGTATAATTTTGTTTTGACCAGATTAAGGACACTCAATAGATTAAATCGGGGAGCCACTCTTTTATAACATGGACAGGCTTCCAACATTGATGTGATTAGCATTCCTGTGACTCCTGTGCATGCCAGTGAGCCAGCCATTCAAATTGGTTGAGAGCAAAAAAAAGAAAAAAGAAAAAAAGAAAGAAAGAAGTCTAATTTGCAATGCACACCATTTGGACTACTGTCGTTGAGTGCACAGGCTTGCAAATTACAAATGAAGTCCCTTTAGTCTGTAATAAACCTTACAGCCAAATGGGGGAGATGGGGGGGAGGGAGGGCGGGAGGTGGTAGCACTGCAGCGCTGCTACTGAAAATTGATGCACAGCATTCAGCACTCATTCTTATAGCTTCTCAAATACGTTTTGGCAGTGTATTCCGAATACCCCTTTTGGTGCTGCGAATGGATTCGCACCAGTTTCTCGTTTGAACGCATCATTTAGGGATATATTCGCGAGTCCGTTGCTCAGATAAACTACGTGTTGTTTTGAAAGGCAGTCACTTACCCATATCCGCGTTATCTGTCAAGTCCAGTTAATGGATTCGGATCCGCATGTCCACTAACAGGTACCGTCCTAATTCACTGGCCGGGTTTGAGCGCACCTGCCCCCGCTTCCTCTCCTAGACTTGGGTGTGCAGTCCGGTTCAAATGTGCCTTTATAAACGCACAACACGGCACATTTACTTCCTTTTTAGGATGACTCGTTAGATTTGATGGAAGTCCAAATTCAAAATTCCACGTCCATGCGTTTGCTGCAAAAACAACAGCCGTGTCCAAGTTGGAGACAACAAGAATTACCCACTGCAGCAGGCGCAGTTCCATCCAAGTGGACCGTGGCAATCTCTTCATGCACCTGAAGATTCATCACGAACCCCGTCGGGGAGCCCCTCAATTAACGCAACATAATTCGATTTTCGCCGAAAAGCAGCCCTTAGATTGCACTCCCGTGCAGGGCAAAAGCTCGGTGTCGTCTGACAGGAGGGATGCTCACTCTGGACCGCCCATTGCGCACAGAGCAAAGTCCCGCTGCTTTCCCCACAAGTCAACGCAAAAACTGACAAAATAATCCAGTATTCAAATATCCACCTTTTTTGCCTTCCTTGAACGCAGTTCAATCGGCGTGACGCTGGTGTTCAGCCGCGCGTCTGCATCCCCGAGCAACTTTAACCAGGCAGAATCCGAATGCCCTCTTCTGGCGGCTGCGCAACCCACGCGCAGGTCCGTTCAAAGTGGGTCCGGATAAAGCTCATCCGGCCAATATTCCAGTCAAAGATCTACGACGGATATTCCTAACGTCACGCCAGACGAATCGATTTCTTTATTTACCGTCATCAACAGCTGGGGAAACAGGTTGAAATATTTTCCAGCTCATCAGATGCGGCGTGTCCATGCGTGCGCACATTTGTTTTTGTCTTTTCAGCTGTTTTGCATCTTTGTTTAGGTCCTGATCTTTTGTATTGTATTCAACTAAGCATGCTTCTTTAAGTGCATAATTAGAATTAAACTTAAATTATTATGTTTGCCACACGAAGGGCAGAGAAACAATTTGCACCCCCCACCCTACACACACACACACACACACACAGACACAGGCAGACACACACACACACACACACACACACACACACACACACACACACACGCACACGCATACCAATTATGTCTGTTACCGGACCCCTGATTATGTGCGTGCACTGTACTTCCTCAAATAAGTGAATTAAAAGTAAGGAAAAGTGCTGTAAATGTGACACACATTTTTTTATGGGGTACACATCTTGAAATTCCGATTTTCTATGAATCACAATTAATAGTTTTCAATTGTGGCGACTTGAAGAGCCCTTTGGATTCATTTTAGATTTGAGCAATAGTGCTGTGCCAACCTGTATCATTAGGTTTGTCGTTTAATTCATTTTGACATGATTGTGACTGTTTAAGCCGAGGGTCGGCAACACCCGACTCCGGAGCGGCATGCGGCTTTTTATCTCCGCCTAGTGTCCCCCTGGAGCTTTTTAAAATGTTTGAAAATGGAAAACGATCGGGGAGTGAACATATGGTTTTGTATTTGAATATGGTGTCTGTAGGAGGACAAACCTTTCTTAACATTTTCCAATGCTGTCCAATAAATATTACATTTCAACATTTCTGTCAACGAAGATTTGCGTCTTAGCCTGCGACACACGTTTCTATTCGCAGGGTGGGCTGCCAGGCTATTGTAAGAAGAAATGGCGTTTCATGTCCGTGCCCCCCTGCCCTACAGGATGCACTGCAGGGGGAAAAAAAAGTTTAATGGGGAAGGCTCATTGTGTATTTGTCGCCAATTTAGTCATTTTGATAGTAGGCTAATAGAGCTAATATAGATACATACAGCGTGTGTTGTCTTCTTTCTGAGGCTTTTAATTTGTTGACGCTCCAGACACATTTGATTTTAATTTTTTTGGTCCAATATGGCTCTTTCAACATTTTGGGTTGCCGATCCCCGGTTTAAGCAATAGAAACAGTGTTGTACCTCCGACAGAATCAATTGATGCTCATTAAATTGCTCATTAGCATACTACCTTCCTGTTTCAGGGAGGATGTCGAGCAGACGTGGGTTTTTTTCCTTGGCCAATTCACCATCCATAAGTGTGTATTTTATTTCAAAAAAGTCACTGTGGATGGTAAGACAAACCGTGACTTCTCAGATGCAGAGAGGTTTGTGAGCATGCGTTGGTGTGCATGCATGTACTCGTGCACGTGCAGGGGGGACTAAACCAAAATGCTGGGCAGAGTTTTTGTTTTATTTTTTTATTTTTATTTGTGTGTGTGTGTGTGTGTGTGTGTCCCAGGCCAGTCCTTGTTGCACAATACTCAAAGCAAGACCAAATGGAAGGAGAGATGTGATGGGGTGCACTCAAGCTGAGGTTGAGGAGGTTTGGCATCGTGTACAAGGGCATCTTGACGGTCATGAGGATACAGACTAGCATTTCAACAAGTAATAGTTTTTTTTCGTTGTTGTTTGTTTTCTTTCCTTTTTTTCATAGCCAGACTCAAACCACGACTAACTTGGTCCAAAGTTGAAGAACATAGTTTTACCATTAACGTAGGGTGCAGATTAGTAAACTGAGGGAACACATTAGCAGTATTATTATGATTTTTTTGCTGCGTGCTTGCGAGCCAAAAGTTAAGACATTAAAAAAAATAAAAATCTGCTTCCTGGTCAAGTTCATACAGATGCAATTAAACAAGAGAATCTTCTTCTGTGTTGTCATGACAACATAAAAGTTTCAGTTTAAGAATCATGAAGGAGAAGGTTTCCATTGGGAACAGACACAACTTTGCAAAAGTTTCCAGACACCTTTCAAAGCAACTGTGACAGTGTCCTTCATGTTGTTACTTGATTTAATACTTTATTTGGTCACACAGGGTTGGTCACAGCCTGATATTTTTCGATATTTACTCATTTCCATGTCATCAGAACGTTTTGCCTTCCAAACCCTGCTCTGTCTTTTTCATGGAATGTTTTGTATAAAAAGGCTTTTACTATTTCCACTTCCGTGTCCTGTCTGCTTCTGGATCTAAATGTGATTCCTCACTTGACCACAAATAAACATCAAATATCAAAGCTCTACGAGTTTTGATTTTTTTTTTTTCACTGATAAAGTGATACATTTAGTGTCTGCTGCTAGGGAAACAACTGGATCATTCTGAGTGGAAAATCACCAAAAACACATCAGCATTTCATTGCTTTTTATATCATTCGCAAGCACCTCTAATAGTAGACGAAGTCAATTTTTGCCTCACCTTTGATAGTCAATCACCTCTCTTATCACCCCTTTCGGATAAATAAACATTTTGTGGTTGGCTGTTTTCATTTGTCACTCATGAATCACGGTTGTTTTTGGTGTCTGTTGCTCAGAGTAACCAATAAAATTGAGCCAGACGGTGTCTTCCTCATTGCTCTTGTAAAAACCAAATGTCTTGCACTGTCCCTCAGCCTTAGAATCTGTTCATGCAATTTGGCTGACGAGTGTACGTCTGGATGCGGTTCAACGAGCAAAGGCCAATCTGCTGACAGTGCTGAAACAATTAATATCCTGTGAAGTAATGGTGAGGCAGCCAGTGCCAGACCACAGGCAACGGCTTGCATTTTCTCCCCCCCCCCAAAAAAAAAGATAACTGTATCTATTACACTCATTTATTCACTCACTGAGTGAACAGCCTCTGGTTTCTTCCTTCTTATGACTGTCATATGGCAACATGGAACGTAACGAGAGCCTTGGATAATATGATAGCGACTGCCCTGACTCCTTCTGATCCTTGATTTCCCAAAATATACAAACGCTCTGGGCAGAGTGGCAACCCTCTAATCATTCTGATCAAACATGTTGGGATGAACTAGGACAGAAATTTTGAGCCAGAACTTCTGTCAGGTCTTCACAATTCTCTCAGTGGCGAACTTGGTTTTGTTTGTAGAGGAGTCGCTATTTCCTAAAATACAGATTGAAATGTACCAAATTTGTAAAGGCAGAGTACTGTATTGTAAATAGAATTTATAAAATATTTCAAAAGGAGAACAAAAACGGTGTGTTACTTTGGCCACTGTATTTTTTTTCTTTTTATTGAAGCATGTCAAATCATAGGCCGATTGGCCATATGCGTTTGGTTTCCAGAAACCCAAATAGCAACTCGGTCCCTTTTAGACCCAAATCGCTTTTTTTTGTTTGTTTTTTTTTTTTTTTACCTAAATGTTTCTAGAGTAGTTAATTGGATGTACTTGATTTTTTTGTTTTTGTTTTGTTTTTTTAAAGCCAGTCAAATGTGGCAGGTTTGTAAAGAACACCGTTCTGTGTGGTGTGTCAAACTTCCAAGAGATTTTTTTTTTTTTTTACTTTGTAGGGAGTCAGATGAGGTTTCAGTTTTGTCCAGGTCATTTCATTTTTCCTTTTTTATCCCATACTTACGTTGGATCTTAAAAAAAAAACAATGCCATATTTTCAGTATTAAAAAATGAACAAACATTATTTTTGTCAGTTACAAGTTATTTGACTGACCATAATGGACTCGTATCTCTTTAACAACAGGGTACCTCCATTTTTTTTTTTTTTTTTTGCCCATGTGGGAAAATTCTAGTTCTTTCTTTGCCACTTCCTTAAATGCTTGCGTGATTTTCTTTTTTTTTTTTTTTTTTTTTTTAAACCTCATGGCATTTTTTTTTCCCAAAGAAGTAAATTGAGATTATCTTCCCAGATACAGTACAGGTATATCCTCTGTCCGTTACTTGGGAGCTAAGGCATTTCCATGCTTCTGTGCAGTTATGAGAGAGTGTGGTGTGCAATTTGTAGAGGTTACCAATGTTAAAGCAAGATTAAAAATCGCATAAACAACATAAATATGGATGATATGCTTCTGGATGGCATCGTAAGCTAACGCTCTGCAAAGCCCCCAAAGCCATAATATTCTAAAAACACATTTTCAGACTCTTTAGCATGAGTGACAGTTCGGGTTTGTGCTTCCCGTGTTTGCTTTTACACTGGGACTTGTCCAATCTAGTGTTCTTTTCTTTTTTCATTTCTTTTCATCTTTCAGCCTGGCAGCATGATCTTAACCTGCCTCGAGGCTATTTTCATTTTCAGGCAATTTCCTGACACTGAGCTTTTCGAGTTCACCTGCAGATGTGAATGTTCAAAATATTAAGGGACCGCTGCCTGCTTTTTTTTCCAACGATAAAATATGTTTTTTACAAAGAATGTTGATATGCCAACCATGCTTTGCCACATACTTAGTTCAAAATCCAATTCTTGTTTTTTTTTTTCTCTTAACCTTTAACTCAACCAAGCTATTTTCCAAACTCAGGTTGGGGTTTACATGTTTAGCACGTGTGTGATGCCAGACCCAGGCTTTGTAAAGCATTATTAAATTAATTTTATTACAAACTCTTTTTTTATTTTCCGTGAACTTCAATACCATATCTGTAAAGGACAATGGCGACGTGTTATGAGGTCAATTACTCAAGAGCACTTAAAAACAAGCATCGCTGTATACAAAGTGCTGCACATGGAGCAAATATCATATATTGAACAATAAAACAACAAGTTAATAACAGAGACAGTAGAAAGCACCAAACAGTAAGACTAAGATCAAGTGTGAGTCATGCCGTGTCAAATGCCATAGAATAAAAATGAGTTTTGAGATGAGTTTTAAAGATGGGCAGCGAGGGGGCTTGCCGAATATTCAGTGGGAGGTCATTCCAAAGAGAGGGGCCAGCAAAGGAAAATGCTCGAT